TGGACACATACCATACTTAGCTGCATCGGGTTTAGCACATACACCCCAAATATCTTTCCATAGGTCTGCTCCCCACAGGGCTCTATTTAATGTAGTGCAGCTTCCTTTGTGCCATTACAGCATCCATATTGTCAACCCTTTCCACACTGCCCAGCTGTCAGTAGCCAGATCAGTGGGCAGGGGTTCATGTGTCAACACAATCCATAACACACAATTCTGCCCACTGACTACTTTGTTTAGTTCTTTCTTCAAACCAAAGTACATTAGAATCTAATTGGATGGCAGAGGAGTGCCAAGTAGGCAGGTTTCCCTAGTAACTACCATCAGTACACCGTGTGTCCTTTGGAGGTAAACCTACCTCTTCCTTTACTTGGGGGAGGGGAGGCATAATGTCAGTAACTTCTGGAAGTTGGGCTAAGTTGACATAAGTGACTGGCACTAATAATGAGTACAGTTAATAAGATGATATTGTAAGTGCCCCTGTGTTATAGGTAAGTGTGCCCTTTCTGTAAAGTGCTTACCTGGGCACAGGCACTCTAATGTTTTCTGAACATGTCCTTAATCTATCCTCCTATTGGCAGAGACGTTTGTATCACAAGCAGGTCAGCAGTCAGTCCTTCCCTGTGTTGAAGTGCAAGATAAGACAGCTAATACTTGTTTCATGATGGGACAATATCTGGTTTCTTTTAAATTTCTTGAGACTTGTTTTATGGTCTAACGTGGTCTGTCCTCGAGAATGCTTAATGTGCACTTTGGAAGAATGTGTATTCCATGGTCATTGAGTGAAGTGTTCTACTTATCTGTGTTTTTAGGTATTCACTCTCCACCTGTTAAAATGCTAATCATCCTTTGAGTCCCGGGTCCAAAGGGTCTTGTCAAATCTTCCTTAATACACCTCACCAGTTACAAATGTACAGTTCACTTATTTTTTTTAATATTTTATTTATTCACTCATAAGAGAAAGAGAGGCAGAGGGAGAAGCAGGCTCCATGCAGGGAACCCGATATGGGACTTGATACCGGGTTTCTAGGATCAGTCCCTGGGCCGAAGGTGGCACCAAACCGCCGAGCCACCCGGGCTGCCCAAGTTTGCTTATTTGAACTTCCATCACCCATAACTGTGGTATATTGGTAGGCAAACACTCATAACAATATAATAAATTCTGTTATTACAAGTCAGTTTTTCTAAACTCTGCTGTTTGGGTTTCTTTTGTGTAGGGACCATGTATTAATTGTATCTCTGTATCCCTGAAACCTTACTTCTAATAGTAACTTGAAAGCATGCCATTGAAAGGATGAAAGAATTTGGTGGCTCTGAACTCCTCTTAAATGCTGAACTCTAGGCTATATACTGTAGAGGCTACAGCAGGAGAGGAAATGCAGTGTGCTCTGCCTCTGGAGAACCTGAATCTTAGTTAAGAAGACAACATATAAAAAAAAAATAGAAAACAACATATCTATACAAGAAATCTTTTTTTAAATTTTTTTTTTAAATTTATTTATGATAGGCACACAGTGAGAGAGAGAGAGGCAGAGACACAGGCAGAGGGAGAAGCAGGCTCCATGCACTGGGAGCCCAACGGGATTCGATCCCGGGTCTCCAGGATCGCGCCCTGGGCCAAAGGCAGGCGCCAAACCACTGTGCCACCCAGGGATCCCTACAAGAAATCTTTAACACAGGATCTGATCAAGTGCCAACATAAGGGCTCTAGAAGTTTGGGCTCGTCCTCTTTGTCTCTTCCATGCATGGGAAAGAGTCTCATAGAGTTTTGAGGTTGAAACAACCATCAGGACTATTGATGTCCAGCCACCAGTGTAGGATCCTCTGGCAGCTGGTTATCCAGTTTAAACATTCCTCCACTTACACACTCTCACCCACAGGGAGAAGCCCCAACACTCCCCCCCTCAGGACTTGATGTGGTTGTTTGCTAACTTTGGGCAGTGAGAGAAAATCAGATTGCTTTTTTAGCTAGATGTGTGCATCTTTCAATCTTTGCCATGAAAGAAACTACAAGCCTGAAAGAATGCATGTAAAGTCAACTGGAAAGGAAAGAGCTCTAGTCAAAAGCTTGAATCTCAATGGGATAGGTCAAAGGATACTGACATGCTGATGTTAGGTAATTCCTTACCTAACAGATCAAGTTCATCCTGAGAGGATCACTTCTGGCGGGCCAAAATGAATTATTTTTTGAAGCCTGTTATCGTCCTTAGAGCCCATGTGTATGTGAATGTTCTGGGAAGTTCTGAAGATATGAGATTTGGAGAGGTGAATTCATTCCACATACCAGTTACACATTTTATTCTATCTAATTCAGGATAAAGACTGATAATTTCTGGGGCTAATCAGATATTCCTGGAGGTTTCTTGTCAAGAATGCAGTATGATAAAGGTTTTCAAGCCAGAATGTAAAACTCTCCCCTAGTAACCTTTGAAAATAGGATTATATTAGGAGATAAAAGTATATTATGAAGTACAATACCCACAATTTTAGTGGTGCAAGTTAAATAAAACAGGATAAATAAAACTTATATTATGAAGTACAATACCCACAATTTTAGTGGTGCAAGTTAAATAAACCAGGGCTGGCCCACAGTTGTATATGATAGTGGGCAAAATGTATGGCATCCTTATCACAGTTATCAAGGTCCCATTGATTGACAGCCAATCAGAATATGTAGAAGGAAGCACTAAACCACTTGGTGTTGGAGGATTAGAGAAGGCACAGACCAGGTCTTCTGGTGGGTAACATATGGACAGGGTGGAAGAGAAGAGATGAGGTCAGTGAGAGGGCCATAGAGGCTAGAATGTATAAGATATAGTATTTGATCAATGCAAAGTACCCAGAAAGCTGCAAACCTGGGCTTTGGTAGAGGCAAGGCACAGGAAGACTGCTGTCCCTGTGTCCACCTAGGTGTGTCAGGACTCTTACAGCTTTCAAACAAGATTAGCTCACTTGGTGCAAATAAATCATCCACATGACTCCTTGTGCTCCAGTCAATAGCCCCTATTGAATTGATGACTAAGGCAATCCATCTATGACTTATCAGAAATTCTCTTCCCAAGGAGGTCAGGGGAGAAAATGGGTGTGGTGGGCCAAGAAAGATTGGCCATTCTGGGTGGGCCAGAGTGAGTCACCTTCCCCAGAGCTAATGCCAGAGACAAGGCCAAGGCCTTTTGCCTTTGCTGCTCATTCTCTTCACCTTTTCCCCAAATCCTGACCCTGTCAGCTCTTTGACTTTTCTGATAAAGCCCTGGAGCTGAAACAGCTCTAACTTTATAGGTAGGGATCCTGAGACCCAGAGAGGAGAAGGGATTTGCCCTAATTCCTATAGCACATGGATTTCAGGATTCAGAGTAGAGGGCCTCTTGACTAACAACCCCTTACATTCTGTTCGCCACCATGTGTCTTTCCTCTTTGAGGCCCCCCCCCTCCCCCCGTGCCAACTGAGAGGCAAAAAGGACACAGACAGGACATGGCAGAAACCTGAAGGGGTTATCCCTCAACTGTAAAGTGCCTCATGGAACAGGAGGAGATGCAGGAGGAGTTTGGTAGCAGAAGCTCATCTTCCATGACCATATTCTCAAAAGCAAATCTGGTTTCAGGTGGCATTTTCTAAAATATAAACTGAAAAAAAAAATACACAAAATACATAAAATAAAAATGTAAACTCTGAACTAACAAACTCTGTAATGCTTTCATCAATCTCTAATAAATTTTTCTGAACAAATATTGGAGTCTATTCAAATTTTTGTTTTCAGTACCCTCCCTTTTTAACTTTTTAAAAAATAGTAATTTTTTATTCAGGTATAATTAAGATACAGTGTTATATTAGGTACAGATGTACAATATAGTGATTCAACAATGCTGTACATTTCTCACTGCTCATCATGATCTGTGTGCTCTTAATCCCCTTCACCTGTTTCACCCATCCCCCAAACCCCCTACCCTCTGGTGACCACCCATTCTCTGTATTAAACTTTTTGAAAAGTTTAGTGTGTTACAACAAGGTCCATATTTCTCTCCCCTGATAAATGTCATCTTTCCTGCCTGGATATCCCAAGGCCTCTCTTCCTTCAGTGACCACAAAGCAACCCTGAAGAGGGGCCTTAGGTTGAATTCAGATCAGAGGAAGCATATAATTTCCATATTAAAGATTTGGAGGTGGGACGCCTGGGAGGCTCAGTGGCTAGCGCTGCCTTCAGCCCAGGGCATGGTCCTAGAGTCCCAGGCTCCGGCTCCCTACATGGACCCTGCTTCCCTCTCTGCCTATGTCTGCCTCTCTCTCTCTCTCTGTATCTCTCATGAATAAATAAATAAAATCTTAAAAAAAAAAAAAGAATTGGAGGTGCTGGTCTCACTCTGGCTGATGAACAATCTCCTCCTCCCTTTTGCAGTGTGGTCCCCACAAGAGATAAAATCTTGCTTTTAAATCTTCTGTACCCCCTTCCCACAACAATTTGGCATAAGTCAGAGGCATGGAACAACACAGACTCCAAGAGGAGTAGCAGTGTAATGTGGGATGAAACGAGTGCCTGCTCGTGAGACCCTTTAATGTCTTCCTTTCATGTCCTCCTCTGGGCCTCTCAGAGCCTTCCACTCCTGAGAATGTTGCATCCAAGTTCCATCTCTGGGCTGGGTTTTGTTTTTGTTTTCATAAAGGGCTTTGTTGTTTCAGACAAGCGTCATAAACTAAACCTGGCTGTGTATCTGTTTTGACTATCCATCTGGCTTTGTTGTACCCTCAGCTCACAGACTCCTCAAAATCAGGTGTATCAGGTGTACCTATTTCTCCTTAGGGTAGATAATTGTTCTATGCATGCTCCTCTCTGGGTCAGGAAGGGAAGTCCAACTTCCCCCCCCATATCAGTTAATTTTAAACACTCTAGTTCCTCTTATGTATAATTAGGGATTGGTGTACCAGAGATGACCCAAAACTTCCAAGACTGATCCTGGGAGCACAATTTCCTGAAATGGTTAAGGGGGGAAAAGAGAAACTCTCATCATGGCCAGATTGAGTCAGAGATCTGTGAGAAAAAGAGGCTTAAAAAGTAAAAGCCTAAACCCTTATTTGCCACCCAGAAGTTGCAACACCTTATTAAAGATATTGGTAAAATTCTTTTCTGGAAAGTCTTTTGTGTACCTGTACAAAGTGACAGCAAAAGATTAAGACCTACTACCTTTAGAGGAGGTGTGCCAGTTATCACTCAATACCTACTTTTTTGTTTTTTTGCAGTTTTATACCTTTATTTGACAATCAGCAATTAGTTCTCATCCACATTAACAGTCTGTAGATTTTTTAAAGTGGTGACAGGTACGTAAATAACCAGCATGTAGAGCTTGTTTGGTGAATCTTCATCCTCGTTACATTTTCTGGACAACTGCACACGGATATGGTATGGAACTTTGGCCCAGACAACTTTGTTGAGCCTGGTGTCAATGTGCGCATCTGGAGTTCCCATCTCCTTCATGGCAAATTTCCGGATCTCTTTGAGTGCCCGAGGGGCACACTTCTTGAAACCCACTCCATGGATACGTTTGTGAATGTTGATGGTCACTACCTCGTTGATGGCAGGAGGGCCCTTCTTCTCCCCGCCACCCTTCTTTGCGGGAGCCATTCTGCCGGGCCCTAGTTGGAAAAGCACTCAATATCTACTTATTCCAGATCCATCCTTCATTGCTTTGCTTGAGATACTGGGACATTTCTTTGCCAGCAGGCTGAATGTTGAGCTTTATCAGTAGGGGGTACTGGAGGATAAATTTCATCTACATAAACAGGTGGTTTCTTGCCCTCTAGGAACCCTAACATTAGTACTAGTGGCTTCTATCTACTAGTATGCCAACTGTGGGATGTCCTGCTTGCCAGCCAAGGCCCACAGTTTCCTGCCCATTGGCTTCAGCTGCTGACTGCGTATCAGCTCTATCTCAGGCCATCCAGTGAACTTCTCTGCCATCCAGTGGCTGGTGGATCCAGTCATACCCTCTCCAATGAAGTCTGTGTCTCAGCCTTAGGGAGGGGCTCCCTCGCCTTCCAAGTTGGTTCCTTTGGTTACCCTCCCTCTACCATAGGGTATTTTTGGGAGTTCTCTTTTATTCCCTCCTAAGTAGTTAGTTCCCTATTTATTTATTTATTTATTTATTATTTAAATATTTATTTATTCATGAGAGACACACGGAGAGAGACACAGAGGCAAAGGGAGAAGAAGCAGGCTCAATGAAGGTGCCTGATGAGGGATTCAATGCCAGAACTCCGGGATCACGTCCTGAGCTGAAGGCAGACGCTCAACCACTGAGCCACCCAGGCATCTCTAGTTCCCCTGTTAATAGTTAATAATTTATTTATATTAAGCTGTTCCTGCTCAGATTACTGTGGTTACTGAATCCTGAATGTCTGTTCATGGGCCTTGATTTTGAAAATGTAATTATGAGTAAACAACAGTACCCTCTTAGGTCAAGTTGTTGATAAATTCAAAATTAACTGAACATGTAAAAATACATGGGTCCTAATAATTCTAGAAACTACCCAAAATGGGTCAGAATGAGTTTTATTCAACCAGAAATCATGAGTATTATACTTAGAATTAGCATTAAATCATTTTGTGGTTTAATGGTAGTGAAATAAAGCTCTTATAAAATTTTGGAGACTAAGATTTCTGGAATAAGAACAGATTCTCCTTTCCCCTGAATAGCATCAGCACCTAGACCATTCAAAGAGCAGAAAGCCTCCATTTTTTAAGATTTTAGGACAATTAACTGTTAGATATCTGGTGCCATCATATTGGAAAAAAACCTCGGACCAATCATCTATCAGATGAAGGAATTCCATTGCCACACACAAAATGTGTATGAGTGATGCTAGACCAGTACTGTCAAATGGAAATAGACGGTGGGCTACTAATGTAAATTTTTCTAATGGTCACATTAAAAAAAATGAGAGAAACAGGTGAAATTAGCTTTAATAATTTATTTAATATAACCCCAAATGTTGAATATATTGCCAAGGTAATAAGCATTATTAAATTATTAATCACTATTAAATTGTTAATAAGATACTGACATTCTTTTATTTGTACCAAGCCTTTGAAATCTGATACGTGTTTTTTTATTGGCAGCACTCGTCAGTATAGACTAGTCACATTTCTAGGACTCAATAACCGCATATGGCTAATGGCCACTCTATTGACAGTGTAGCTCTGGAACACGGTTTGACCATCATGGGATGTCATGGGAGCAACTGTTTGAAACAAAGTTTAAAAAAAAAAAAAAAAGAGGAGCACCTGAGTGGCTCAGTTGGTTAAGTGTGGGACTCCTGATTTTGGCTCAGGTTGTGATCTCAAGGTCTTGAGATTAAGCCCCATGTGGGGCTCCTCGCTGATCGCTGAGGCTGCTTAAGATTCTCTCTCTCCCAACCCATCTGTGCTGCACCCACCATGCACACTCTCTCTCAAAAAAAAATTAAAAATTAAAAAAAATGGAATTGCATTAAAAATATTGGACTTTATTCTGTAGGTTTATTGATTATATTAATATTGTATTTTAAACCATTCTCTTGCATTAGATACACATAAACATAGTGATTATGTGACTTATTCTAGGAATCAAGATTTTCAATGTGAAAGAAAAGGAAGTGCAATTACAGAATTAAGAATTTAAGTTGGAAACACTGTTGAGCACTACTATGGAGCTTGTTATTCAAGCATGTTGCTATGAACCCATTTACTGGTATCATGAAGATTATAGAAACCATTAAAAATAGCAGCGAGAAGACTCTTTTTTAAAAAAATATTTTATTTATTTGTTCATGAGAGACACACAGAGAGAGGCAGAGGGAGAAGCAGGCTCCTTGCAGGGAGCCAGATGTAGGACTCAATCCCAGGACCCTGGGATCACGACCTGAGCCAAAGGCAGATGCTCAACCACTGAGGCACCCAGGCACCCCGAGGACACATTTTTGACTCAACGTGAATATTAGTAGAATGAAGCTCTAAGTTCTGACCTTGAGTCAGGGGAAGCCACGTGAAATATCCAAAATCCAATTGGATCTAATTTTAAAGATCTTTAGGAGTTACATAGTTTTTTGACTATGACAGAACACAATTCCATGAGGTCTTCATGTCTTAAAATTAAATGCAAAAGACATTACTATGGAACTTCAAGTTCAAACATCTCTAGATATATCTTAGCTTTTTTGTATAAAATATTTACATATCTTAATATATGTACATTTATTTATCTTAAGATATCAAAGCTCAATCAAGTAACCAACTTGACTAGGAGCTGCAGACTTTTAGGAAGAAAAACTTGAACCCAGGGAACTGGATTAGGTGATCACTTCTCTATTTATATATTTAGCTATATATTTTCTTTTGTTTTCCTGGAGTATTTTATAGCAAATCTCAGATATCATATGTTTTCATCCAATTATTATCCCCTTGGCAGTATGGAGTCATTAACATAATCATATATAGAGTGTTGCCAATGGGGTCTCAAAATTCTCAGGCCTCCCAGCTCAAGTACCTGCCAATAAATAGCTTCAGTTCACTGGTATTTGCTTTCTTCCCAATTGCTTTCTTTAAGTGGGTAAACATCTTCTAGCCTTAGAAAAAAAATCATAGAAATATTATAAAGAAGACATCCATTAGTACTAGTATTTTTGTGTGTTAAGAAACTGGCTTTGATATTTGATGTTTTATATATTGTCAGAGGAGGATGGGTTTGGTCTGGTAGAATGACAGTGTTGTAACTGATCTGAAATGTTTGAGCAATACAGATTTTTATTTTAGGATGAAATCTCGGCTAAATTATTCTTAAAATTTTTTTTTATTTTTTTATTTATGATAGTCACAGAGAGAGAGAGAGAGAGAGAGAGGCAGAGACATAGGCAGAGGGAGAAGCAGGCTCCATGCACCGGGAGCCCGATATGGGATTCGATCCCGGGTCTCCAGGATCGCGCCCTGAGCCAAAGGCAGGCGCCAAACCGCTGCGCCACCCAGGGATCCCAATTATTCTTAAAATTAAAAAATCTAAGATACTTTTGGTTTCCTAATATTTATACATCTAGAGTATTGGATTTACAGGTATGAATTCAGAAGGTTTTGTTTATTTAAAGTTAAAGCAGTTATCCAGAAGGTCTTGTTTATTTAAAGTTAAAGCAGTTAAAGCTTGAGATGAAGCAGTTCACTATGTAATTACATTTATAAGCACTCTCTTCCAATGCCTAGCCCTTTGTCACTTTCTGATGTAAGAACAACCACGCAGTCTACAAAATGGGACCCCAATAAAGGAAAGCTGCATGGACACTAACAGGTTGCTATCCTGTCTTATCTATCTATACTTCCAACAAGATTGGCAACATATGGTCCCCAAATCCCTCCTCCCTTCCCTGCTCATCAGAGCTAGCATCTTAGCACACAATTGGATGAAGGAGCATGACTGAAAAAAACTGCTAGGCGTTCACCTGAGTTTTGCAATGTATTGGTTTTTCATTGTTTGCACTTCTTTTCTTCTGCCACTGGTAATGCGGGGAAGCACCCTAGAAGCCATGATCCAAGCGTTAGGCGCATCCAGTGGGTCTGAGGGCCTTTGCTTATTCTTTTGATAGCCTTGAGGCGACCCCTACCGGAAGGTAGATTCTACTACAGTCAGAAAAACTCCAAAAATGCATTCTTTCCTGGGAAAAAGATGGACTCAAAATTAAACTCAGACTAACATTCTTCCTTTATGGGACAACTTTTCCAACATATGTATAAGTTACAAACCACACATCCTTTACACTTACAAAGCTCTGGTGAGATAGAAGCAAAACTATGGCACTAAGCAAAACTATATAAAACTTTTCAACAAGTGGGCTTTATGTGGCCTGAGGCTCTATCAAGGATCAAGCTGAGCTCAAATACTGCAATTCTACAATCCACCAGATTTTGGGACTCAGCCCATGTCAGTATTCCAATAGTGTCACTCCAACCCTGAGGACTTTCTTACTTGTGTATTGCTTCTTTATTGTCAAGTACTCACATCCTGGATTCCTTTGCAGCTCAAGCCACCCTGGACTCCATATAGTACATGTGTTCTGACAGGATATGAAAAGGATTTTCAAGAAAGAACCCAGATGGAAGGAGTCCTATGACATTCTCTTGACCATCCCCATGACTCTGTGGTGCTCTAGACAATCCTTGAGGATACGAGATTGACAAGCCACAGCTATATCAAAATCAAGAGCAAACAAGGTAAATCTGGTTATAATTGATAGAGACTACCAAAGCCCAAATGGCAGCTTTATCCTAGAAAGGAAAGAGGGTTAGTGTGTAGCATTGATGGACTAAGTAAAGACCACAAAGAAGTTTTGTAGGACATATGAAGATTCCAAATAAATAACCTCAAGTGTAGTGTATGAAATGGAAGACTGCTGGGCTAATATTAGAATTCTTAAGTCCTGGGATGCCTGGGTGGCTCAGCAGTTGAGCATCTGCCTTTGGCTCAAGGCGTGATCCTGGGTCCAGGGATCGAGTCTTGCATCTGGCTCCCTGCTTCTCCCTCTGTCTGTGTCTCTGACTCTCTCTCTGTGTCTCTCATAAATCAATCAATCAATCTAAAAAAATTAAAAAAAGAATTCCTAAGT